GACCCCGCCCATCTCGTGCAGCTCAGTTTTAGACCAGCAACACGGATCTGTTTTGTGTGCATGTCTTAGTTGCCCTTTTCTTGACTCTTTTGTGTTCACAGAATGTCCTTTCCCTCCTCAGCATAAGTGGGACATAGCTGGGCAGTTCTCTCCGACCCAACACTGGGTCCAGAAAGCTGGCCAGCGATGCCAGGTGCGGGGGGCTCTGTGACGCTCCGTGGTGGGCTGCCCTTGCTGGCACTCATGTAATCAAGGTTCATTAACCCCGATCGTGGGACCATCGCAGAGCGTTTGTTCTATGGTAAAGGTACGCATTGGTGAAACCATTCCTAATTACGGTCACAGTTCGTGCTCTGAAAGAAGTGCTGAAAGTACAGAGCGAGAGACCCCAGTGGGCACACCCGGCCTGCGGGTCCCGTAGGCCTCCCGCTCCCTGCGAGCGCGTCATCCCCAGGCCTGTAGCCAGAGGGTGGACCCGCGTGCTCGAGGTGGGGGAGGGAGGCAGGCCCACCCTCCTGATGCCGTCACTCCAGATTAGCCAGTCGGCTGCTCAGCTGTCCCCTGGGTGTGGGGCAAGAGCGCTTTCAGATTGCGTGTTAGGTGGCCTCTTGAAAATGCTACCCGTTCAGTACTGCAGAGCAAGACTCCCACGGTCTTGGTAATCGGGTCCTCTTGCCTAACTCTGACCTGCCGTCCTCCTCCTTGGGGACCTTTCCGGCACATTCATGGTGACGTGTTAGCACGTGACTCAGGCTGGCTTCCCCCAGCGGCCCTGCATCTTAAATCCCAGACGGGTGTATTGTCGTGAGCTCCTGCAGGGGCAATCGTGTCTAAAAAGCCTACAGTTCAGACACAGTGCCGAGCTTTCCGATACTCCACGGAGCAGGTCACCTGCTGGGGCTGGTTTGCTGCAGCGTGGCACGGACGCCACACACGGGAGGCCGTTCCTCCCTCGGCGTGTATAGGCTCTGCTGTCAGCAGGTCGTTTCCCTGGACCCAGTTTCCACGTCCGTACCCTGGCACAGTAATGACATCAGCTTTCGCATATTGAGCACTGACTGTTAATTCATTAAGTCCTGTAAGTAAAGTATTTCCATTTTCTGTGCCTGCCACACAGGATTGTGGGGGCGATTAAACGCATTAATATGCAAAGTGCTTTATAACCTGAAATGTATCAGATAAAAATAATTTTATTCAAACGCGATCAGGGAATTCAGAGAGGTGAAAATTTTAATGGGCAAATTTCTGTTTCTTTTTTAAGACGGAGTCCTGCTATGTCACGATCCTCCTGCCTGAACCTCCCACGTAACAGGGTCTGTAGGTGTCTGCCACCATGCCAAGCTTTTAGGGGGGCTGAGGGTCAAACCTGGGCCACTGATGTGAACTCGGCCTGCCAAGTAGCAGCATCAGCCAGGGCACACGACTGCGGTTGGCCATGTAACTGGAAATCTTTACGGTGACTTTACATAGTGTTGATTTTTTTTTTTTTTTGGAAAGATTTTTGCTATAGGGCGTGTGCACTTGCCAGAAAGACAGACAGAAAGCAAGAAATCACCCCCCAGGGGGGATGGCCATGCAATCCCTTCTCCTCCATTCTCCTCTCGGGATCTTGGGCACACACGCACATGCGCCCGGGGTGAGTTTAAGCCACCAGGTCCAGGACTCAAATCGCTGTCGACTACATGGAAGTCCAGTGACATAGCCATTACACCAACTGCTGGTTCCCTAGTGTTAATTTTTCAATTTGTTTGTTTGTTGTGATTTTCAGGCCGCCAGGTCCAGGACTCAAACCACAGTCAGCCATGTGGGAATCCAGCACCTTAACCATCATGCCACCTGCTAGCCATATGTTGATTTACAAATACCTATCTATTATTACTTATTTCTTAGAGACATTTTTGCTATAAGGCATGTACGCTCACTAGAGAGACAGAGACAGAAAGTGAGAAATCACTCCCAGGGGGTGGCTGCACTGCAGTATCTTCTGCTCTGCTCTGCTCTCCTCTCGGGCACACACACATATGCGCCCGGCGTGAGTTTCAAGCTCCCTGGTCCAGAACTCGAACTGTGGTCAGCCATGAGGGCATCCAGCAACATAACCATTATACCATCTGCTCTCACAAACACGTTATCTATTTATAGCACAGACTTTTTATTTTTCAAGTGGAGGTTTTTGAGGGCCCACTGGGTGTCAGGCACTGTCCTGGGTGCTTAGGATACATTATGAAGAACATCGAAGATTGCTACACTGGAGGGGTGGAAGTTCTGAGAAGCAGGTGGAGAGCCAGTAGTCAGTGTGTAAAATGTGTCTTAAAGGAATGCTCTGAAAGCAGCGCCAGGCGAGGGGACGAGGAGTGCGGGAGAAGGAGCAGTTTGTTGTGTTTTTAGTTTGCTGTGGAGTGCGTGCTCACACTGGAGAGAGACAGAGACAGAGAGAGAAAGTATGAGATCACACCTTGGGGATGACTGTTCGGCAGTCCCTTCTCCTCTGTTCTTTCTTGGGATTTGGGGCACACACGCACGTGCCCTGGCTTGATTTTCAAGCGGCCAGATCCAGGACTCCAACTCTGCAGTCAGACCCACGAGATCCACACCTGTCGTAACCACCACGCTGCCTGCTGGTGCCGCGGTTTGCTTCGTCAATCAGGGTGAGCTTCGTTTGTGTTCTGGGCGCCACCTCACTCACTCACTCAGCAGATGCTGGCTAAGCGCCCACCGTGGGCTGTGGCCTGCAGATGGGGCAGAACACAGGAGGGTGGGCTCTTCCCCTCCTGGGCGTCCTTCCTGGTGGGCAGGGGAGACGGAGAGCACGCACACAGACGTGTGTGCCATTTGCAGGTTGCGGTGAGTGCTGTGACGGAAACGCGGTGATGTGAGTGCACGCTCGGCGGGGCGGCCCCTCCATGATGCGCGAAGTGATGCGCACAGCAGTGAGCCGGCCCCAGAGCTGGTGTTGCAAAGGCCCCGGAGCTGGAGGAGACTCGGGAAGTGGAGGAAGCAGAGGGAGCCTGGGTGTCCAGCACTGGGCGGGAGGGAGCAAGCGCCACTGCGGAAAGTGGCCGGAACCTGTGGACAGCTGGGGGCCTTGGAGGCCACAGTGAAGCATCTGGATTTTATCCCAACATCCAGGGAAGGACTGCAGGGCATTTAGTGGGGCTTGACTTGGTCTCTTTTATATTTTTTAAAGATCACCTACAGGGGCCAACTGGTGGCATAGTGTTTAAGGTGTTGGACTCCCACATGGCCAACCGCAGTTTGAGTCCCAGACCTGGCGGCTTGAAAGTCATGCTGGTTACCTGTGTGTACATGCCCAAAATCCCAAGAGGAGAATGGAGGAGAAGAGATTGTGGCATCGCTGTCCCCCCGTGGGTGATTTCTTGGAAGTGGCATGGTGGTTAAGGTGCTGAACTCCCATGTGGGTGACGGTGGTTCAAGACCCAGGTCTGGCAATTTGAAATGTACACCGGGCACAAGCGTGTGTGTGTACCCTAACTCCCAGGAGGAGGATGGAGGAGAAAGGATGGTGGCGTGGCCATCTCCCCAGGGAATGATTTCTCATTTTCCTCAAACAGCAAACACACATGCCCTATGATAGAAAGAAAAAAAAAGAGAGAGAGAGACACCTGAGACTGTGTGAAGGTGAGGCTGCATGAGCAGTTCCTCTGCAGCCACCAGTAGCACAGGACACAGCGACCCTGAAGTTGGTTCCGGCCGACGGTCACTGAGCTCCAGCTGCGCCCAGTACCGCACTGACAATTTCCCTCTGTGCCATCTCGTTCACTCCTCTTGGCCCAGTTTCTGGTTCGTCCAACGAAGAACCAACGTAAACTGTGAGTCTGTGCCTTGGAGAAGTGCCCAGAGAGCCAGAGTGCAGAGGGCAAGGGTGAGAGTGGCCATGAGGTGGGGAGGTGTGTTTCCACAGTGTGACACCAAAACAGCAACGAGCTAACCCATCCGTGCAGCTCGCTGGGGTTTCATTCTTGTTCAGATGCCAGGACGGACAATCTCATTCTTCCTTCTGCTTCCCCCCCCCACCCCCGGGGTAGTAGTCAACCTGAAGGAACAGGGCCACCCTCTGTGAAATCACCGGCCCTTCAGACTCACAAGACAATGGTATGTGGCCTCTGAAACCAACCCTTAATGATAAACTCACCCCTAAAATGAAATGTTTCAGAGGACAGGACCCCAGACCTTGGTCCCCATAGCAAAAAATGCCTTCTACATTAGGGACTCTGAATGTCAGTGGGATTTGATTAAAGCAAGAAATGGAGACTCGGGGCCAGCAGGTAGTGTGGTGGTTAAGGCGCTGGACTCCCACGTGACCAACCACGGTTCGAGTCTTCGACCTGGCAGCTTGCTCTTCCACTTTCTCTCTGTTTTTCTTTCTCTCTCTCTTCTCTGGCAAGCACATGTGCTCTATGACAAATTAAAAAATAATAATAAATTAAATAAAATAATTAAATAAATAAATAGAGACTCAGCACCCAGGGCTTCAGAGAGAGATTCTCTCAGCCTGTTTGCCAGGTCTCTCAAGCAGGCAGGTGTTCAGGCAAGCTTGATCCTGAGATGAGGCCGAGGTACGCGGGTTATGCTGGAACTACTGCATTCGGAAAAAGAAAATAGAAACCGAGGACCTTTCCCCCCCTTTCATCCTTCTAAACAAGTATTCTAAAATATTCAGCAAGGTGCGTTGCGTCATCCGTGAATCTGAAAATACTCGTTCTCACAGTCTGTGTGCACGCAACTACAAGCCTGGGGACCGGAAGTTTACTTTTCCAAGGTAACTGGCAAGGTTGTCCAGGCCAGCTCTCCTCTCTGTTTGAATGCACTTTAACAGCTTCCTGGGACTGGCCTTTAGAACAGCCCAAATTCCAGTTAAAAAGACAAATGTCCCGTGTCCTGTGACGCCTCCTTGAATCCGACGGCTTCGACGCATTAACATCTGATAACGTGGCTCTTCTCTGCCAGCCCTCTCGGGCTGCATTTAGAAAGCAGAATCAAGAGGATTTTCCTTTTCCTAGACACGGTTCAAAGGGCTTCTGTTTTGTAATCTGTTTTCGAGATCTGATGCGTGTGCTTCTACCACTCCGTCATGTGAGGGCTGACGTGGTCACCCAACACGACGATGAGAAAATGTGCTTCGGCGGTGTGTGTGGGATGGTGCAGCCGCTCGCCGGGGCAGTGTTCTTTGTCGGGAAATTCTGTGCAGGGAACAGCCGGCCCGCGCAGTAGGGCCCACATGGACATGGGCCCCACGCTGGCCTAGTATGGACCGTGAGTTTGAGTTCTGCAGGATTCCAGGTCAGTTCCCTCACAGCGAGTTCTTTTTTTAGTTAGGTTTTATTTCTGAGTTTCTTTTTATAGCGACGACTTGCAGGAGAGAGGAGAACAGTGCTGCGTCTATCCCGTTTTGTTTCTCTGTGCCTTAGGAACTGAGTGGCCGGTGCTGCCAAGGGGGTTCGTGGCTGTGTCCTTTTTCAGCAGGTTTAGGAAAATGGGGTTCACTCTGATGTTGGAGCGTGGCCTCGAGTGAGTGACTTCTAGCGCACACCAAGGACAGTCTGCAAAGGGCAACCTCACGGTCCGCTCTGTAATGGCGTAAGGACTTACGAATAAAAATGCACTAGATCTTATTAACGAGCCCTGTAAAGCCTTGTTAATAAAATAAAGCTTTGTCTGTGTAATAGATACATTGGTTAACAACTTAAAGGACTGTTTTCAAGTTTTGTTTGGTTTCGTTTTGTTTTTGGCATTTCGAGAGTTCGAGTTTATATGAAAACTATTCTGTGTATTTCAGTGAAGCTGCCTTAGCTAACCGGGGGAGGGGAGATGTCATTGAGCCGGGCATATCGGGAAGTCGTTGGTTGGAACATCGCCAGGAATCGTTTCCTACTGTTCAAACGTAGTCCGAGAGCGAGTCAGCCAGTGTCTAATAGCAGTTTCCAGGATCTGGTGGGGAAGGGGCGGCTGCTTAGTTAAAGATGGCTGGAATCAGGTGGGCACGTGGTGTGACGAAGCTACGCTTTGAGTCTGGGGAGGCAAGGGTGCAGCCAGTGGCAGGGAGCACAGACAGCCCAGTGGGAGCCGCAAAAGCGGGGCCAACGCCTGGCCT